GTCTGGAACTGTCGATACGAATGATGTCAGTTGTTTGTTGAATCGAGTGGCGAATAGGTCTACTAGTGGAGATCCTATTTCCATGATTATTTGAGTGAATATCTCTGTGTGGAGCATCCATTCTGTCGGCGACGGTAGGTGTGGTCGAGAGAGAGCGTCTGCTAATACATTCTTTGCTCCTGGAATGTGGCAAGCTCTGACATGTATGTTTAGATTGTCTATTAGCTCGAATAGTCGGAAACAAAGGGACAGTAGGTTCGGTGACCTTGTTGAGCCCTGTTTGTTTACATAAAACGCCACTGAGCATCAACTGAGCGTTCTGTAGTAGTTTGCTCCAGTGACTTATGGCGTTTATGACTGCTTGCATCTCTAGCAGATTTATGTGATATTTGCTCTCTTGATTGCTCCATAGGCCTGACGCTGTCTTGTAGGCGAGGTGGGCTCCCCAACCTTGTAGTGACGCGTCTACGTAGTGTTTCCGATTCCGGCTCTAATAAGGAGACGCCTACGCAAACATTCAATCTCTTGGTCCACCAGAGTAGATGAGGTTTGACGTGATCTGGTAGACTGAACGGTAGAGGGTCCTCGAGATGCGCATTGATAAGGACTTGTAACGACCGTAATTGAAGCCTGCCTCTGACTGTCAAGTCTTGGGCTGATGTGAGTAGTCCCAATAGGATCTGCCACTGTCGTAGTGGTAGCGGAGAGAGTAAGGCTTGTGGGATTAACTGTTGGATCTTGATCCATCTGTCCTCGGGACTACTATCACGATTCTGGGCTGTTCAAATCGTGATACCTAGAAATTGCAGATCTTGGCGTTGGTTCTAGGGCCGACTTGAGTAGATTTACTAACCATCCTAGTTGTGTTAGTAACTTGATTATAAAGTTCAGCTGTAGTCTGAGACGCTGTGGATCTGGATCCACTTGTATCCCGTCTGGCCGCGTCTAGGTAAAATGCGCCATGAGGACCTTTGACGATGTACTTATGCGACAATAGGCTTCGCCTCTTGTGAATACCCAAGGGGCGATGAGATTCGAAGGGAAGTACTTTCCATTGGTAGTGTTTCCCGTCTAGGATAAATCTTAGATATTTCCTTGAATTGGGATGAATCGGAATGTGTAGATATGCATCTTGCAAATCTATGCTGGCCATGTAATCTTTGGGACCTAATTAAGTGCCGAAGTTAGCGGTAAGTGTATCATGCGAAACGCTGGCGGTTTGCTTAGATAGTCTTTGTTGAAGATGCTCATGTTGTATATGAGACGAAACTTTTCCTTGGAATTTTTCTTGGGCACTAGGAAAACTGGGGAGTAGAAACCTGGTACGATGTTTCGCTGATCCAGAACTTCTAAGGCCTGTTTGCTTAGCAGAGTAGCTACTGGTTCTCTTAACATAGGTAGTTGTGCCGGTTGAAAGTCGAACCTTGGAGGGGTGACTGTTAACGGAGGTGTGGCCTTGAGTTGTATTTGATATCCGTGCTGTAGGATGTTGGATACATAAGGATCTTGTAGTAGTCCCCAGTTTTCCCAGTGCAGCTGAAGGCGTCCACCCACTTGAGACAGTTGTACTGGAATGGCTGGGGGTGGAAGACTCCAGTCGTTCTGAACCTGAATTTCATCGTCTAAATCTGCGGGAACCTCTGGATGATCTGCCTCTTGCTGATCCTCCTCTGAAATTGCTGTATGGGCGACGAAAAGATTCCCTGGGACCTTTTGCTGTAGCCAATTTCTTGTCCCGTGCTTTCTGTAGTCCAGAGAATTTAGACTTGCCAGAGTATCTCAAGGATGATTGTTTAATGACGTTCGCTAACGTATCCATGGACTTGATCATAAGCACCTCTCTAGAGTCCTTAGACACCTCTTTGGAGACCTTGTCTATGTTACCACCAAAGAGTAGGGGCGATGACCATGGGGCAGCGTAGAGTGATTCCGTAAATTGATTATCCCAATTGCAGGAGGCTAGTAGACCCTGCCGACGAGCCATGGTAGTAGCTTCCGTAAGTGCTGACAAGTGATTAGTAAGGAACTGATGGTCTCTTTTCTGCATGAGTAGAGTAGATCATTCTATCTTCCTCCTCTGTAGAATCTTTGAACTTGGTGATGAGAGTTTCATTAACCGTTCTAGATCTATTCAATCCAAAAAACATTCTCCTAGAAATGGTATCCAACTGGGCTAGTTTGCGATCGTCTATTCTGTAATTTCTGGACTTGGCATCAATGATTAACTTAAAGTTGTCATCAATCTCTTGGGCCTTGAAAAAGGAGTCCATATTGTGACCTGCAAATTTCTTGGCGTTGAAAACCGGGAAATGTGTTGATTGAAATTTCGTAGATTTGGTAAAGGCTGTATCCAGATTAGCTGGAACCGCTGCTATCGGGTCAATAGGAGGTAAGGTGATAGTGTCCGCATCATCTTCCTTCATCAAATAAGTATGAGCTGAGTTCTCGTTCTTAGACGGGGAAGCAAGTTCTAATCCATTCACCATCCAGTATCTAATTTCTGCATCTGAGAATACGATACCTTCTTCCTCTTCTGACGAGGGATCACATGTAATAGAGTGAGGTGGAGTCCTAGATCTGTAAGAAGATGGAAGATGAGAAGATTGTGGTGAAACGGACTGGCGAGTGGCTAGTATAGGGAGACCTTGGAGGAGACTTCCTCGGCGACGCTGGTGGCTTCAAGTGAGCTCTCGATGAATCCCTTCTAGATCTTCTGGGTGAAGATGACTTGGAGCCACTTAACCTTCATGAAGGCCTTCGGGAAGGTATTGAGTCAGAGTCCGAATCATTATATGAGAGCCTGCTTTGAGAACGACCTGTGTTCTACAGGGTGTGAGCTCGGTGAAGCACTCCTCCTCCGCGAAGCCCTTCGCAACTGTTGAGGATCTGGATCCTTCGTGGAGGCGGCCTGGGTTGTTCTTCGCGAAGGCTCACTACGGGCTGGGTTGCCCTTCGTGGAGGCACGTTTGTGGGCTCTAGGGCCCTACGCGAAGTCAAGGCGGGCTCTAGGGCCCTGTATGACTTATAATGGGTTGGGCTCTAAGGCCCGCGGCTCTGAGGCCTCTGTAAACCGTATCGGTCTTCCATCAACTTCATGATTTGGTTAACCAGGTCGTCTGGGACGGTCTGCGCTGGCGTTGAGGGTGTCCTCTCTGTGATAGTAGCGGGACCCTCAGTTATAATCTCTCAAGCGTCAGCGTAGGCATCTCTGGTTGCGTGTTGATCTGCGCTGAAGTAGACGGTAGCCGATATTGGTCGCCTTCTTATGACGTACATCTGGAATGATAATCGGAATGTCATCATCATATAAACACAATTCTGAAACAGGTAAAATGTCAGAAGCAAAGTTTTTAGTAGCCTTCGTGGATTTCCCTTTTGACGAAGCTGGAGACCTGGGGGTTCGGAGCGTACGTTGAGACGACGTGGAAGCTCTTCTAGTCTTAGACTGTGATGATGGAACGTCCTGGGATGCAGGTCGCTTCTTGGATATAGCGGACTGCGTCCCACGCTTATCCCCCGAAGGTAACTCAGGCGGAACACCAGACGGTAGAGGGTCGTCCGCTAACAGTTGACAGGGTATATCTGACTCTGATCTATTAGCCATGACTGAAGCTTGTTTCCGAGATCTATCTGCCACCCGTCTCAAGACGGAATATAAATATTTATCAAAGGCAGAATTAGACAAATTAATACATAATTTGCAGCGTGAAACAATAGAGCATGGAGTTATGCAACTAGGGCATATTAAATGCGGATCGGCAGCAGAGTAACGTAATTTACAAACAGTGCAGATTTTCATTAACGCAAACTGCTGAGCAAACACGGCAAACCGTGAATAAAGCAGCAAAAAACACGAATAATTATCAATGCATGTTGAATAAGGATACTAGTTACACCTCTATAGATGAATATAAGAGGTACCAAACTAAATATAAATAAAGGATATAGTGTGTAGGGAGACACAGGCGCTCTCACGTCCAGCTCACTGGGCAAAGAAGGAGAGAGTGAGGCACATGGTGGGAGGTGGCGCCCTCATTCCCGCGCTTGCGAGGGGAAAGATAACTCAGGGTGAGTACTAATTAGTGATTTTACATTGAAGGGAACTTCAATTGGGAGATACAAGTGTTCCACTGTGTTCGCAAAGAAGAAGAAGACAAGCAAAAAAGCATGAGTCAGGATAAGGAAAAATATTAGTATTTCTTGGCCAAAATTAGTATTAACTTTTCCAAAGAATTTTCATATTAAATAAAAATGTGAATATATAGTCTAAGACCTTGTTATTAACATTGTACTCACCTAAATCAGTAGCAAGTATCCACGTACAGTGGAAACCGCCTAAGTAAAGACCGCTTAACTAAACAGACCTGATAAGTAAACACTTTTCTTTGGTCCCAGCAAATTTCTTCATTAATTATCACTATTAGAGTCTGGTTAACTAAACTCGGATAAGTAAACAATACCGCTTAACTAAACGTCTTCTCACGGTCCCTGGAAGTAAATTACTTAACAAAAGAGACTGGATAACTAAATTAGCGATCACCACATAATCCGACATTAGGGGCAGTCGTGTCAGCTCGCTGGCGTCAAGCAGTTGACAATACACTGACAACTGGAGGCCAGCCCTGATAAGTTGTTCACTGTTACATATACATACATATACATGCATATGTTTGTCATTTGCAGGTTTTTACAAGTTTGGATAAGTAAAATACCTGATAAGTAAACAATTTTGGTGAGTCCTTTGAAATTTTACTTATCAGGTTTCCACTGTATTGCTAAAATCTAATGTGTTATTCTTACCTGTACAGGGCCTCTTGGTCTGGTTAATTATTACCATTACCTGTACAGGGCCTCTTGATCTGGTAATGTGTTATTCATACCTGTACAGGGCCTCTTGGTCTGATAATGTGTTATTCTTACCTGTACAGGGCCTCTTGATCTGGTAATGTGTTATTCTTACCTGTACAGGGCCTCTTGGTCTGATAATGTGTTATTCTTACCTGTACAGGGCCTCTTGGTCTGATGGTACTAAATCTGTCTTCTCTGACTTGGTTGGGGAGGTGGCCAATGATCGGACACTCTGGCCGCTATACTTCTGACGGACAAGCAGCTGGACACGACACACCAACCGCTGCCCTCTTGCAACATTCTGGAAAATCATGAAACTGTAATAGAAACATAGTGGCACCAAGGGGCACTGAGGGGACACCAAGTGGGCAACAATGGGCTCTGAGAGGGCAACAATAGGATAACAAGGGGGCACCAAGACAGCAACAAGAGGGCACTGAGGACCAAGAGAGCAACAAGGGGGCACTGAAAAGACACAAAGAGGGCACTGAGGGTACACCAGAAGGGCAACAAGGGGGCACTGAGAGGACACCAAGAGGGCAAGAAGGCGGTACGGAGGGGACACCAAGAGGGCAACAGGAGGGCACTGAAGGTACACCAAGGGGGCACAGAAGGGGCAACAAGAGGGCACTGAGGGGACACCAAGGGAGCACCGAAGGCAAGAACAACAGGGCACTGAGGGGGACACTAAGGGGGGCAACAGGAGGGCCCTGAGGGTCACCAAGAAGGCAACAGGAGGGCACTGAGGGGACACCAAGGGGGCACTGAAGGGACACCAAGAAGGCACTGAGGGTACACCAAGGGGGCACTGAAGGGACACCAAGGAGGCAACAAGAGGGGACACCAAGAGGGCACTGAAGGGACATCAAGTGGGCACTGAAGGGACATCAAGAAGGCAACAAGAGGGCACTGAAGGGACACAAACTGGGAAACAAGAGGGCACTGAAGGGACACCAAGAAGGCAACAGGAGGGGACACCAAGAGGGCACTGAAGGGACATCAAGAAGGCAACAAGAGGGCACTGAAGGGACATCAAGAAGGCAACAAGAGGGCACTGAAGGGACACAAACTGGGAGGGCACTGAAGGGACACCAAGAAGGCAACAAGGAGGGCACTGAAGGGACACACAAGGGCACTGAAGGGACTCAAGAGGCAACAGAGGACTGAGGGGACACCAAGAGAGGCAACAAGAGGGCACTGAAGTGGCACTGAAGGGACAACAAGAGGGCACTGAAGGGACAACAAGAGGGCAACAAGAGACACTGAGGGGACACCAAAGAAGGCAACAGGAGGGCACTGAGGGGACACCAAGAAGGCAACAAGGAGGGCACTGAAGGGACACCAAGAAGGCAACAGGAGGGCACTGAGGGGGACACCAAGGGAAACAAGAGGGCACTGAAGGGACACCAAGAAGGCAACAGAAAGGGACACTGAGGGGAGGGGCACAAGAAGGGCACACTGAAGGCAACAAAGAGGGGCACTGAATGGACACCAAGAAGGCAACAAGAGACTGAATGGACAACAAGAGGCAACAGGAGGGCACTGAGGGGACACCTGATGGGGGCACTGAGGGAGGGACCAAGAAGGCACTGAGGGGACACCAAGAGGACAAGGGGTCTACAAAGGGGCACCAAGAGGACAAGGGGGCACTGAGGGGACACCAAGAGGGCAACATGGGGGCACTGAGGGACACCAAGAGGGCAACATGGGGGCACTGAGGGGACACCAAGAGGGCAACATGGGGGCACTGAGGGGACACCAAGAGGGCAACATGGGGGCACTGAGGAGGCACTGAAGGGACACCAGTAGGGCAACAAGGGGTCACTGAAGGGACACCAATAGGGCAACAAGAGGGCACTGAAAGGACACCAACAGGGCAACAAGGGGTCACTGAAGGGACACCAATAGAGCAACAAGGGGACACTGAAGGGACACCAACAGGGCAACAAGGGGTCACTGAAGAGACACCAACAGGGCAACAAGGGGGCACTGAAGGGACACCAACAGGGCAACACTGACTGACTGACTGAGTTTAGTTTTACGCCGCTTTTAGCAATATTCCAGCAATATCACGGCGGGGGACACCAGAAATCACAGGGCAACAAGGGGTCACTGAAGGGACACCAACAGGGCAACAAGGGGTCACTGAAGAGACACCAACAGGACAACAAGGGGGCACTGAAGGGACACCAACAGGGCAACAAGGGGACACTGAAGGGACACCAATAAAGCAACAAGGGGACACTGAAGGGACACCAACAGAGTGAGTGAGTGAATTTATATCTACGCCGCACTCAGCAATATTCCAGCTATATGGCGGCGGTCCATAATTAATCGAGTCTGGACCAGACAATCCATTGATCAACAGCATGAGCATCGATCTGCGCAATTGGGAACCGATGACATGTGTCAACCAAGCCAGCGAGCCTGACCACCTGATCCCGTTAGTCGCCTCTTACGACAAACGTAATCGCCTTTTGTGGCAAGCATGGGTTGCTGAAGACCTATTCTACCCCTGATCTTCACGGATCGGTCACCAAAATATAGCAACAAGGGGTCACTGAAGGGACACCAATAGAGCAACAAGGGGTCACTGAAGGGACACCAAGAAGGCAACAAGGGGGCACTGAAGGGACACCAATAGAGCAACAAGGGGGCACTGAAGGGACACAAATAGAGCAACAAGGAGACACTGAAAGGACACCAATAGAGCAACAAGGGGTCACTGAAGGGACACCAATGGGTCACCAAGGGGTCACTGAAGGGTCACCAAGGGGTCACTGAAGGGACACCAAGAAGGCAACAAGGGGGCACTGAAGGGACACCAATAGAGCAACAAGGAGACACTGAAAGGACACCAATAGAGCAACAAGGAGACACTGAATGGACACCAACAGGGCAACAAGGGGTCACTGAAGGGACACCAACAGGGCAACAAGGGGACACTGAATGGACACCAATAGAGCAACAAGGGGTCACTGAAGGGACACCAACAGGGCAACAAGGGGTCACTGAAGGGACACCAATAGAGCAACAAGGGGGCAGTGAAGGGACACCAACAGGGCAACAAGGGGGCACTGAAGGGACACCAACAGGGCAACAAGGGGGCACTGAAGGGACACCAACAGGGCAACAAGGGGCACTGAAGGGACACCAACAGGGCAACAAGGGGTCACTGAAGGGTCACCAATAGAGCAACAAGGGGACACTGAAGGGACACCAATAGAGCAACAAGGGGTCACTGAAGGGACACCAACAGAGCAACAAGGGGCACTGAAAGGACACCAACAGGGCAACAAGGGGTCACTGAAAGGACAAGACAACAAGGGGGTCAATGGGACACCAACAGGTAACAAAGGGGTCACTGGAAGGACACCAATGCGAGCAACAAAGGGGCACTGAAGGGACACAATAGAACAACAAAGGGGCACTGAAGGGACACCAACAGGGCAACAAGGGGCACTGGATGGACACCAAGGGCAAATCAAGGGGCACTGAAGGGACACCAACAGGGGTAACAAGGGGTCACTGAAGGGACACCAATAGGAGCAACAAAGGGGTCACTGAAGGGACACCAATAGAGCAACAAGGGTCAGAAGGGACACCAATGAGCAACAAAGGGTCACTGAAGGGACACCAACAGAGCAACAAAGGGGACACTGAAGGACACCAACAGGGCAACAAGGGGTCACTGAAGGGACACCAATAGAGCAACAAGGGGACACTGAAGGGACACCAATAGAGCAACAAGGGGTCACTGAAGGGACACCAACAGAGCAACAAGGGGTCACTGAAGGGACACCAATAGAGCAACAAGGGGACACTGAAGGGACACCAATAGAGCAACAAGGGGGCACTGAAGGGACACCAACAGAGCAACAAGGGGGCACTGAAGGGACACCAATAGAGCAACAAGGGGGCACTGAAGGGACACCAATAGAGCAACAAGGGGACACTGAAGGGACACAACAGAGCAACAAAGGGGGCACTGAAGGGACACCAATAATAGAGCAACAAGGGGACACTGAAGGGACACCAATAGAGCAACAAGGGGGCACTGAAGGGACACCAACAGAGCAACAAGGGGTCACTGAAGGGACACCAACAGGGCAACAAGGGGTCACTGAAGGGACACCAATAGAGCAACAAGGGGTCACTGAAGGGACACCAATAGAGCAACAAGGGGACACTGAAGGGACACCAATAGAGCAACAAGGGGTCACTAAGGGGTCACTGAAGGGACACCAACAGAGCAACAAGGGGTCACTGACGGGACACCAACAGTGCAACAAGGGGTCACTGAAGGGACACCAATAGAGCAACAAGGGGTCACTGAAGGGACACTAAGAAGGCAACAAGGGGGCACTGAAGGGACACCAATAGAGCAACAAGGGGTCACTGAAGGGACACCAACAGAGCAACAAGGGGGCACTGAAGGGACACCAATAGAGCAACAAGGGGTCACTGAAGGGACACTAAGAAGGCAACAAGGGGGCACTGAAGGGACACCAATAGAGCAACAAGGGGTCACTGAAGGGACACCAACAGAGCAACAAGGGGGCACTGAAGGGACACCAACAGAGAAACAAGGGGGCACTGAAGGGACACCAACAGGGCAACAAGGGGGCACTGAAGGGACACCAACAGGGCAACAAGGGGTCACTGAAGGGACACCAACAGGGCAACAAGGGGTCACTGAAGGGACACCAATAGAGCAACAAAGGGGGCACTGAAGGGACACCAATAGAGCAACAAGGGGTCACTGAAGGGACACTAAGAAGGCAACAAGGGGGCACTGAAGGGACACCAATAGAGCAACAAGGGTTCACTGAAGGGACACCAACAGAGCAACAAGGGGGCACTGAAGGGACACCAACAGAGAAACAAGGGGGCACTGAAGGGACACCAACAGGGCAACAAGGGGGCACTGAAGGGACACCAACAGGGCAACAAGGGGTCACTGAAGGGACACCAACAGGGCAACAAGGGGTCACTGAAGGGACACCAATAGAGCAACAAGGGGGCACTGAAGGGACACCAATAGGGCACTGAAGGGACACCAACAGGGCAACAAGGGGGCACTGAAGGGACACCAACAGCAACAAGGGGGCACTGAAGGGACACCAATAGGGCACTGAAGGGACACCAACAGGGCAACAAGGGGGCACTGAAGGGACACCAAGGGGGCACTGAAGGGACACCAACAGAGCAACAAGGGGGCACTGAAGGGACACCAATAGAGCAACGAGGTGCACTGAAGGGACACCAATAGAGCAACAAGGAGACACTGAAAGGACACAAATAGAGCAACAAGGGGTCACTGAAGGGACACCAATAGAGCAACAAAGGGAAACTGAGGGGACACCAACAGGGCATCAAGGGGCTCTGTGGGGACACTAATAGGCCAAATGGGTTTGTGACTCTGGGGTGTGTGTACCCAGATAGCATTCAAACATTGGCCCAACGTTTGCAGTGGTTGGCAACGCCATGGTCGGATTTCCTACGCTGACCTGATGTTGGCCTGATGTTGACCTGATGTTGGCCCAATGTAAGGTAGCGTCACAGAAATTATATTTAAGGGACCCTACTAAAAACTGTTTTTCCTAGAGGGTACTTTGGTTTGTACACCTTTCTTCGAGCAGACGACACGACATGATCACAGCCTGGCCATCAGAGTACAGGTTTCCTCGAACATAGATACGATTGTAAGTGTTTCATTATGTGTGTATGTATATGTGGAATGTGTGTTTCTCCTATGATCCAGTGACACCAGACATCCAATTATTTTTTTTTAAGGCAACCAATGTTTGTTCACATATCAAAAATCGATGCCTTGTCAAGTCATTAGATGTTTATGTCAGTGTTTTATTCAGAGGCTAAGGCGCAAGGACAGACCTTGGATACAGGTGGAGACCTCCTGTGATTATTTCTTCTGCCTCCTCATTTGAGGGCTGAATATATAAGCCTCCCCTGCCACTCAGCTGCATTTCTGACTTGTTATTTAAGAAATATACAAAAGTCACATAAACCAGAATTATGTGTTGTCAACAAAATTTTAACTAACCAAGAAAATAGATTTTGGGACGTTAGATGAACAGACTATTCGCCCCTACTCTTGCCCTCAATGTTAAATTTCTAGGGTAAGCCAAGCAAAGTTCAAGTGCAATATAGAACAAGTTTTATGGATAACAACTTCTTTATTTCGTGAGTGCGACGTTTCGATACAGATTCTTGTACCGTTGTCAAGCAAGTGCTTGACAACGGTACAAGAATCTGTATCGAAACGTCACACTCACGAAATAAAGAAGTTGTTATCCATAAAACTTGTTCTATATTGTACGTCTCAACTTCTAAAATGCCACTCAAACAAAGTTCAAGTGTTTCACATCATTGTGTTGTGCTTTTACCAGGGCCTGTTGTATGATGGATATTAATTTGAAAATCAACTATTCTTTAATATTGTCATTTGTGATAAATAAGGCCTTAAATATTGTTTTGGAATATGCATAATATATTAACTAATTGTATTCAGAAACATTTTAGATTATTCTTGAGCCTACCTCAAGCTTTCAAGAGCTGCTCAGCCAAGACAGATAGAGAGCATTTAATTGACTTGATTGTTTCATGGGTACAGCCCAAGGTGACTTCAACTTGAATGTATTGCTTGCTATGTTGGAGGTATTGAGGAGTTAAATAGACATTGGGCCAATGTTTCTTTGCCAACGTTGAACCAACGATGATTATATAATGGTGGCGCAGTGTTTGCTCAACGTTGGCCCGACAGTCAAAAAGACATTGACATCAATGTTGGCCCAACGTAAATGCTATCTGAGTACCTATGCCTACACTAAGCAAGTCACAAATGGAGCATATCTTCATGTATTTTCATGCAAGCATACACACACTAATGAATAGTAGGAATGTTATAATATCAGACACTCCCCTCGGCTAGTAATAAAGTGAGTTTAGTTTTACGCCACACTCAGCAATATTCCAGCTATATGGCGGCCGTCTGTAGATAATCGAGTCTGGACCAGACAATCCAGTGATCAACAACATGAGCATCGATCTGCGCAATTGGGAACCGATGACATGTGTCAACCAAGTCAGCGAGCCTGACCACCCGATCCTGTTAGTCACCTCTTACGACAAGCATGGGTTACTGAAGATCAATATGTTAACTCGGACCTTCACGGGTCGCTAGTGATAAAGACTGGTACATTGCACATACACAGAAGTTGTACATACCCATATCAAGTATGATTCCTTCTTACGCCCTAAATAAAGTGCCTGAATCAACACTTCTGGGATTTTCCTATTTCACGTTAACTTAGGAACTAAATAGACTGGGTTTGACGAGCAGAATTTACGGTGGGTACGTTCACTGGCGTTTCACTTGTTTATATATATGGAGAGATCATCCATGCTAGAGTTTGCTGTTATACTTTGTATCAAGTTATGGGTTGATGCACTCGTATATATGGGTTTTTTTCATCATTCTTTCTGCCAGTGTCATGTTCAATGTCAAAACATGCTCTGGCGAATATATTGCCATGTGAAAAGCACGGGTCTTTACGGGGTAAAATGCATATCGCCTAAATATTTCCAAATGCAATAACACTAAAAAGTTGTTACTTTTCCCGTTTCAAATCGAAGCATATACTGTCCCAAGAACCCGGCTTCTCTTCGAAGCAAGGAGGCTGCCATCTTTCGCCAGTGCCTCGGCGCATAATGCGGAAACGGAAATACAGAGTGTCCTTCACCTTCTACATATTTTGCGGGAAAATTGACACTGTGCACAGTAGATATCTGTTGTGTATATCATATCCAGAGAGGAAATGGTATGACTCTGTGACTTCTTTAGTAGCCATGGATCCGGCAGAAGTGGAGTTTTTGGCCGAGAAGGAGTTGGTGACGATCGTACCGAACTTTGCACAAGATAAGATCTATCTGATCAGTGTGAGTAGACTTTGTCTAAGACTCTAAGTAGTCTACGCGTTTTATTCCAGAGCGATCGATGCTTTGCCCTCCGATCGTCGTATCGTTGTCTGAGGGTTACTCATTTAGATTGACGAATTGTGTGCATTTCTCCACAGCAGGAATCATGTTGATAACCAAAGTGCACTTTTTCTGATCTTAATTATCGACTGACCATTAAAGGGGCACAGATCAGGAGCGATTAGAGAAAAGATTTCCGCCAGTAACCCCCGTATTTTTTTCAAGCGGGGGTTACCTGCGGAACTCTTACCAGCGATGAATATTTCTCGCCAACAGTCTAATTATGAAACCGAGCTGCAAGCTGGCCAGTACCTGCTCCCTCGACCGTGGTGGACACGGGGGCTGGGTGGACAGTAGGTCCACCTTGGCAAATTATTTTCAACCGATACAGCGGGACATAAGCAGGGTGGATGCCCATCAGTTGCCGTTATTTGAAAATATCCCCCGTACTTCATGTCTGATTGCAATAAGTATCCAAGCAGTGTAGGCTTGTCAGATTTTCTAATTTCTGGATGGTATAGTGAGTGATTGAATTCGATCTGATTTTTTACCACAATATTTAATCATGTCATGTAAAAATATTATGCTTATTATGATATTAAAAAAACACATTTGATTTATTTGAATCCGTAAACTAAACAACCACACTTTGCCACTGCGAGAAAAATCTGAAAATTTACTCCGGTAAATAGGTATATACAAGTTAAGGCTCCCCACAGCAAACACTTAGAAAGATATATTTCTTATGCCACAATGAAGTTCTGTTCGTATCCTTCAAACAGTGTCAGCCCATAAGTTTTTTTAGGCAATTAAAATTGCATGCAATATAGCGATTACTACCCCCTTAGTTGTAACCCGTGTTTGGTTGTATAAACCTACACGTTATTTGTCATCATTCACTTAATGGTCAGTTATTGAATTTATAGTGAGTGAGTGAGTATGGTTTTACGCCGCTTTTAGCAATATTCCAGCAATATCGCTGTGGGGGACACCAGAAAAGGGCTTCACACATTGTATCCGTGTGGGGAATCGAACTCGGGTCTTGGGCGTGACAAGCCAACACTTTAAGCACAAGGCTACCCCACCGCCCCTAATGAATTTATAACAGGTATAATTAGTGGTAATATCACTCAGATTACCTGACAGTGGTTCCCATTTGGCATTTCTCGTGTCTGCAGTAAATACTCAACATTATAAATTAAGGTCGGATGTGACAAATGTCCTACATGTTATCTGATATGCGCATGGAAGGGCAGCAAGACGAATTATCAGCTGAGTTACAAAAACAAACATTGATCAAAGAATTAACTGATAACCCGCTGATTGATTACTTACTTTTATCCTGCACAGTGGATTTGTCAAAGGTAGTGTTTATGTATGTAGATTTACTAATCTATACTGAATACACCCTGTCGTAAAGTATCTCTGTAAAAACAATGTCCTTCCTTCAAAGGACTGACCCCCAATCAGAGGAACAGATAAGCGGCGTATCTGCGTAAATTACGCAAATATTTATATGAAAACTCAATTCCTATTACGTCTATTGCGTACATGTACGCTTGTTTTTTAGTAAATACTCAATACATTTGATCTTACATGCGTACACACAAACATGTTAAGGTATATTGAGAGGTTCTATTTCAGCACATGAACTTGGCAACTTGCAGTCTTTCTCATCGTTTCTCACATTACTGATCAAATATAAACAACACGTAAACCAACATTTAAACTTTGTTATATTTTTACAATTAATGGAAATTGACAAAATACCCAATTGAGTTTGAGTGAGGTGGGTACAATTTATTTGGTTACTCAAAGGAAAATTAATATACCCAATTGAGATGAACACACGCGTGTACATAACTCAATGACCCCAAAAGTTATCTGTAGCTCTGACCAATATGTTGATTGATTGCTCATTATTGGCCAACTAAATTACTTTTTTAAAGAATGGTGGACATCATGCAATTAGTTGCCAGGTGTGCTATCTTGGGTGACCCATGAGACAATACACCAATGTGAAAAACCTGAAAAGATATACATGTATCACTTTTTCGCATATTAGACTGTTAAAAGACACATGACATGGAACAGGATTCTTAGTCAGCTGCATATGAATGGCATATCGTTCCTTTATGTGGATATTGATGGATACATTCCACGAACGAGGTAATAGCCTGACATTGTTGCTATAACTTTAGTCTGTTTTAATTTTAATATTTGCATTTTGTTGTATTCATTTGTGGTAGCATTCAACAGAATCAGTTTATTTCTTGTGAAGTGTAATGAGACATACAACATCATACACTAGGTTGCACTTATGGCGCGTGTGTGAAATATGATTCACGTTGGCAAACTATAAAATGTCTAGATATTACAGTCATGTTATAAATTAACTATTAGTACATGTATAAGCAGATCATTTGCTTTTTATTAAGTTTAAAAATACATACAAATATGATAATAAACTAATTAGGTTTATAAGACAAAATATAAAGACTGACTTTGTTATTTTTCAGTCCTAACATTTTTTACCACTGGCAGATGGTTAAACTTCAAAGTGTTCTCATTTGTTATCAAACTTATGAAGATGAAAATATTATCGAGTGAAAAAGATTTCATTGTTGTTGATCATCCTATACTTATACTGTCAATTACGCATGCGGGTGGTGCAGCAGAGGTCACAAACCAGTCAAGAGTCTATCAGTTTATTGCATGAAGGCCATAGGCCCATATACAAAATAAATATGCATAATATGTACAACATATACAACATACAACACACAAGTTATATTAAATCTCGTCTCAATACAAGTGTGTGATAGATAAATAGAGCTACCTTATATTGTTATAGGAATGCTTTACAGGAAAGTATTGAATATGGTTTTGTAGCATTAATATTTGATAGTAGCCATTGTGGAAAATACAGTTGCCGTAAATCATTATATACAGGACAAAGAAATAAAAAAAGTAATTCATTCTCTACAGTATTACAAAATGGACAGAACCTTTGTGATTTAATAATAGATGAATATCTTCCTTGATAGATATATAAATCATTTAGGCCAAGTCTCAGGCATATGAAAACATTACAAAGGTTTTTATTACGTAAGTTGTATAGATACGACTGAGGTTCAAGTAAAGATATATTTAAACTCACGATAACAATCATATCTTGAACTTTCATGTAAAGAAGAATGCCAATCTTGTTTAAAGATATCGATAGCTCTGGTACGAAAATGTTTGATAAATGCATTAACGTTGCCAAGGGTTTGGGATAACCAAACAAATCCAAAGCCGTATCTAAACAAAAGATTACAAATACGGGTTGCCCGAGTATTTTTACCAATATTATCAAGATGGACAATCATATTGTAGGTTTTTTGGGCAGACAATGTTCTGGCATATTTATTACTTTACACCAGTACTTTAAACAGCGAGAATAAGAAATAATGTACAAAGGAAATCTCCCACATTCACTGTACACCATATTATTAGGGGTAGACATACCAACATTTAGAAACCCTTTACAAGCAAGAAGATGAACCTTTTCAATGGGATAAAATTCCTTGTAGCCCCAAATTTCAGACCCTTACTTCCTCTTCTGTACTGAAGGACCTCCAATTGAAATTTACAGACAACTCATCTGTTCAAGATAATCCAAACACATTAAATTCAAGGAACAAACTTAGAACATATAGAAAATTTAAATCAACTTTGAACCATACCTGCAACACTGCAAGATAAAAAAATACCGTATCTACTTCACAAAACAAACTAAGACTGAGTGATCACAGGCTAAAAATTGAACTGGGGAGAAGAACAAGATCACCTACACCTTGATAGTATAGAAATTATTTGCTACCACATGTACAACTTTAAACAAATATAGAAGATCTGATTGTCCTAGGCCATTATTATTATTATACACATTATTACATGTTTTGTTACTCATCATATATATGTGATTCATTATATATCTTGTTTATGTAGTTTATAGAATATTGTCACTGTTTCTGTGTGGAACCTTTGCACAATAAGTATTTTATCTCTCTTATCTCTTTATCTCTGAAGAAGAATAGGTTGTACTTCGGAATCCAACAATTTGAAAAATATATTGGGACCAACAACCCCCAACTTTGGTATAACAGAGAGCAACTGAAGTAGGGCCCTTTTCCCTCTAATTGCCAAATTAATAATATATTTATTCAGATTTAGTGTATGTATAAACAGTATCCCTTGATTATTTATATTCGTTAGCAACAGTCTTATGTTCACATTGAAGGTACCAGTTTTCTTTAGCTGCCGTTAGACCACCCTTGCGAAAAACAACAATTTTGGTTTTATCAAGATTAACGTCAAGAATTCTGGAATATCATCCGGTTACTCACAGGAGAAAAACAATAACAATAGCAACAACCAGTCCACGGAAATTTCTCTGGAACACTGCCCCTTTAAGAGAAATATGGAGCAGAATATTCATTTAAGGGGTCGTTTTGGGGGACACAGCATAAATCACGAACCGGTTGACATTTCTGGGTTATCTTCAAAGTATGTACATGTGACCATGTACAGAAAAACTATTAATATGCATTAAGCTCATTTGATCTCTCTTCTTTTGATGTGAAATATAACGCATCTTGTTATCATTACAGTTTACATTGTAGAACCTGATAATCAACTTGATATTAGCATTTTAGTAACTGGATCATGGGAATAAAGTTCTGTGGCACTCAGGAATCATGTTGACCTTGAGTTGTCTTTAAATGTAACACAAACTTCTGTACTTTAAGAGAGTACATGACATAATAATGCTACATCAAACACTGAGCAGTTATGAGTTGAACATTTTTACAGTTTGTGGGTACACATTATCATGATTATAGTTGACCTTTAGTGTCTTTCAGTCATCATATCTTCATGGCTTGAATGAGTGAGTGAGAGAGTTTAGTTTTACGCTGCACTCAGCTATATGGAAGCTATATGTCGGCGGTCTGTAAATAATCGAGTCTGGACCAGACAATCCAGTGATCAACAGCATGAATATCGATTGATCTGTGCAATTGGGAACCAATGACATGTGTCAACCAAGTCAGCGAGCCTGACCACCCGATCCCGTTAGTCGCCCCTTATGACGAGCATGGGTTACAGATGATCAATATTTTAACCCGGACCTTCATGGGTCTTGATGGCTTGAAAACTGGTCTGCCATTGGCAGTAAAGGTGTTGGCTTGCCTTTCATTATGTGTGGCATCAGCTGTTAGTACAGGTGTTGTTGTTGCTGTTGGTCCTTGTTGTTGGGTTGTTGCTGTTGGTCATTGTTGATCAGGCTGTATTGGGTGATTGGCCTCTTCTGCTAACATGCATCTCCTGGTGGCATTAGAGAAATGTTGGCGGTTTGGGTGGTAGACCATTTCATCTTGTGTACGGACTAGATATGATCTTGGGGTGTCCATCTGTTGAACATAGGCTGGAGAAACAGTTATAGACACCAGACGATAACAGGGGAAACTGTTGCTTCAAGTATGCATATGGGATTTCATTGGCAGGTGACCCACTTTGTTTTCATGGATAATTGTCCCCTGCGGCAAAGCGGAGTGAGTGAGTGAGTGAGTGAGTTTAGTTTTACGCCGCACTCAGCAATATTCCAGCTATATGGCGGCGGTCTGTAAATAATCGAGTCTGGACCAGACAATCCAGTGATCAACAGCATGAGCATCGATCTGCGCAATTGGGAACCGATGACATGTGTCAACCAAGTCAGCGAAACTGACCACCCGATCCCGTTAGTCGCCTCTTACGACAAGATAGTCGCCTTTTTATGGCAAGCACATGGGTTGCTGAAGACCTATTCTACCCCGGATCTTCACGGGTCTCGGCAAAGCGGAACCGGAGACTATGTATTCAGCGGCGTCCATATGTACGTCTGGATTCTTGTTAACGCGATATCTCATGAACTGTTGTACCCAATGTCTTCGAATTTGGTGACAGGCTACATTGGGGGATTACGCAGACACCATTTTATTTGGGTGACCTTGACCTTATCTTCAAGGTCACCGCGACACTTTGACCGCTTTTCAAACTTATTTAAATGCGATATCTCATAAAACATTGCACCCAATGGTTTCAATTATGTCGACGGCCTACAATGGGTGATTAGGCAGACACCAGTCATTTTAGGCATCTTGTATGTGACCAAAAAATAAAAAGTAGTAAATATAGGTATTCCATTCTTTAGCGACGGGGGACATTTCCATATCAGTGGCAAGCACTTGTTAATTCTATTATATCCAGGCTAATAGCTTTAGCTGTGATCTGATGAGACCATGAGATTCTGCATGTAGACAATGGTCGGGCAATAGCTGTGATGTGGTGAGACCATGAGATTCTGCATGTAGACAATGGTCGGGCAATAGCTGTGATGTGGTGAGACCATGAGATTCTGCATGTAGACAATGGTCGGGCAATAGCTGTGATGTGGTGAGACCATGAGATTCTGCATGTAGACAGTGGTCGGGCAATAGCTGTGATGTGGTGAGACCATGAGATTCTGCATGTAGACAGTGGTCGGGCAATAGCTGTGATGTGGTTAGACCATGAGATTCTGCATGTAGACAGTGGTCGGGCAATAGCTGTGATGTGGTGAGACCATGAGATTCTGCATGTAGACAGTGGTCGGGCAATACCTGTGATCTGATGAGACCATGAGATTCTGCATGTAGACAGTGTTCGGGCAATAGCTGTGATGTGGTGAGACCATGAGATTCTGCATGTAGACAGTGGTCGGGCAATAGCTGTGATGTGGTGAGACCATGAGATTCTGCATGTAGACAGTGGTCGGGCAATAGCTGTGATGTGGTGAGACCATGAGATTCTGCATGTAGACAGTGGTCGGACAATAGCTGTGATGTGGTGAGACCATGAGATTCTGCATGTAGACAGTGGTCGGGCAATAGCTGTGATGTGGTGAGACCATGAGATTCTGCATGTAGACAGTGGTCGGGCAATAGCTGTGATCTGATGAGACCATGAGATTCTGCATGTGAGACCATGAGATTCTGCATGTAGACAGTGGTCGGACAATAGCTGTGATCTGATGAGACCATGAGATTCTGCATGTAGACAGTGGTCGGGCAATAGCTGTGATCTGATGAGACCATGAGATTCTGCATGTAGACAGTGGTCGGGCAATAGCTGTGATCTGATGAGACCATGAGATTCTGCATGTAGACAGTGGTCGGGCAATAGCTGTGATCTGATGAGACCATGAGATTCTGCATGTAGACAGTGGTCGGGCAATAGCTGTGATCTGATGAGACCATGAGATTCTGCATGTAGACAGTGGTCGGGCAATAGCTGTGATGTGGTGAGACCATGAGAGACAGTTCTGCATGTGGTGAGACCATGAGATTCTGCATGTAGACAGTGTTCAGGCAATAGCTGTGATAGCCATGTTCTGCATGTAGACAGTGAGGGCACCATGATATTCTGCATGTAGACAGTGGTTGGGCAATAGCTGTGATGTGGTGAGACCATGAGATTCTGCATGTAGACAGTATTCAGGCAATAGCTGTGATCTGATGAGACCATGATATTCTGCATGTAGACAGTGTTCGGGCAATAGCTGTGATGTGATGAGACCATGAGATTCTGCATGTAGACAGTGTTCGGGCAATAGCTGTGATGTGGTGAGACCATGAGATTCTGCATGTAGACAGTGGTCGGGCAATAGCTTTTGTCTGCTGTGGTAGTTCATCACCATTTGCCACAGTAAGCTCAGTGATGTCCACGCATGAGATGACAGTTGATTTTCTCTGCTGGAGTATCACAGAGCCCTGAATGAACAACTGTGCTGATCCCCAGACCTACGTACCGCAGACACTGCATGTTGCCTGTGCCTAGAGGATTTTTGGGTGCTCAATTCGGTTCACCTGCTTTTTTTGTTGTTGTTTTGTGATTTTTTAAGTAAGATCATGTCCTGCTGTTATGTGCTGTGTTGCATGCGTGATTGTAGGGAGATGTTGGACCATTCATCCCAAGTATTCCACTGCAAGTGCCGCTTTGGATGGCAGTCAACTTGAAGCAGCGTCAGAAATGCAGAATTGTGCCCCCTGAATGGATGGATGTAGGTGAGTATACAACAGCTATGACTGTAAACTTGTATCTGTCCCGTCAAATTATACCATTAACATCAGCTACAGTGTTCGCGGTAGGGAAAAAAACTTTGCGTTCTTAAAATGCATTGCCCCAAGACTCTTGCGTTTGCCTGCACAGCAGGTGTATGTCCCTGCCAGAAAGCGACGTGGTCTCTAGGGGCTGCGGGGTCCCCCTGTAAAAAATTGAAATTTAGACGTAATTTCTTTCCATTTTAGAGCATGTTGTCATCATTTGCAAGTCAAATTAGCTGAGAGAAACTTTATTTTATTTTGCTGTTCCTTGGGGGAAATACGTTTTTCGGTTACTTGTTCTCAGAACACAAAACGCTTTGCGTGCAGAACACGCTGGTAGAAAATATTGTGTGTGAAATGTAGATTTATTTGCGTGAAACACGCAGGTTTTTGCATTACTACGAACACTGAGCTACATTGAAACAGTTATCAAGATAATAGTCGAAACCACATGTGTGGTTTGACTTTAAAAGAGAGCTAACTCTAGACTAGAGACTGGACAGACTGGAAGTATGCTGATTAGTTTCGTATCTGAAAACAGTTTAGCTAGTGATTTCCATCTATACTAATTACAGCAATTTGCTTTATGATTGTTAGACATATTTGTCAATATTACTGAACTGTGGATCACTTACTAGCTGGTTGTTAGATGGTGTCGGATGTGGGCCAACATTTTATTTGATTATCAACGAATCAAAGAGTATCATGTGATGTTGAGTGAGTGAGTTTAGATTTATGCCACACTTAGCAATATTCCAGCTATATGGCGGCGGTCTGTAAATAATCGAGTCTGGACCAGACAATCCAGTGATCAACATAGTGAACATTGTTCTACGCAATTGTGAACCGATGACATGTGTCAGCTAAGTCAGCGAGCCTGACCACCCGGTCCCGTTAGTCGCCTCTTAAGACAAGCATGGGTTACTGAAGGTTCATTCTGACCCGGACCTTCATGGGTTCTGATGTTGAAGTATCCGATATGTGGCACAGGAAATGTGGACAATTTCAAGTACTTTGCTTATAGATATAAAGCGTTCACTACATACGATGTCAGTAACTGTATTAAAGTGAAATCAGGAACATGGGCCCACTTATCTTTCTCTGAATTGAGATTTTTGTAAGTGAGCCCACATTTTAGAAAAAAAATGAGTAAAACTACAAATCTTAGTATTTAAAAATTTGTGTTGAATGTAGTTATGCAAAAGAACGAAAAATGATCTCACCAACAAATCTGTAGGCATCGAAGAAGACAGAAATGTGGGCCCACTTTTTAAGATTAGACTGAGTAAATATACTCTTCTTATCTTTCAAAAGTTGAAAAACATTTAAAGTGTGAAAAAACAAACACATTTGTATAGATGTTATTAATAATAATGGTCCATTTGTTATGCTCATTGCTCCATGCACAATGCATGATCAAAGCGCTCAAACAATCTGATTATTATTACCCCAGATAACCCAAGCTGCCTGTTAGGTGCTAGAAGGTTATAGTGACGTGACTTTATCCCACCGCGTACCCATTATCTGCTGGTTGAACAGAGGCAATATTGAAGAAACTCACTTGCCTAAGGTGAGACCACATGTATCACATGTGCTTCATTGTGGGGCAGGACTGAAGTCCTAGAAACTCTCTGGAGTCAAGCAGCCAAACACGGTCACCCATCCAAGGACTCCATGGGCCATGCTGCCTGTGCAGTTTGCACGTTCCCTCTGGTGAAGGAAGGCCATAGACTTGGTTTCTCAACCAGGACAGATGAGCGTTATCATGCTTTTCCCCATTCCTCGGGTGTCATGACTGCACCTACACTCTCCCAAATAATAATGTGATAAAGTGAGGTTATTTAGCTTTTGTAACTTTTACTTATAAATGATATTTTCTGTTTCAGAAAAGTTAGAAGAAAAGAAACAAGAAGAAATAGATAGCAAGTTCTTCACAGCTATGCCAAGCCAGTTCTACATTGAAGTCACCCAATTGCTCCTGCAGTGGTAATAACAGCTCCTCTGTCACATGTCCCCATTTACACGACCACACGTGACGAGTTGTCTGTCGATACATAACCACGCGTGACGAGTTGTCTGTCGATACATAACCAGTGGTTTACCTTCCACAAACATACTCCTGCTCCAACATGACTGAAGTATATACATGAGCTTTGATCAAGCGTTGATGCCTTCTAGTAGTCAAGGCAACAGATGTTACACAATGCCATTTAGAAAGTGGTCAGATGTAGCATGTTATATTTGGAATTACACTTTGCTAGTAAAGTACAGATTCTAGTATATTTTTCCTTATCCTGACTCATGCTTTTTTGCTTGTCTTCTTCTTTGCGAACATAGTGGAACACTTGTATCTCCCAATTGAAGTTCCCTTCAATGTAAAATCACTAATTAGTACTCACCCTGAGTTATCTTTCCCCTCGCAAGCGCGGGAACGAGGGCGCCACCTCCCACCATGTGCCTCACTCTCTCCTTCGCCCAGTGAGCTGGACGTGAGAGCGCCTGTGTCTCCCTACACATATATCCTTTATTTATATTTAGTTTGGTACCTCTTATATTCATCTATAGAGGTGTAACTAGTATCCTTATTCAACATGCATTGATAATTATTAGGTGTTTCTGCTGCTTTATGCGGGTTAGCCGTGTTTGCTCAGCAGTTTGCGTTAATGAAAATCTGCACTGTTTGTAAATTACGTTACTCTGCTGCCGATCCGCATTTAATATGCCCTAGTTGCATAACTCCATGCTCTATTGTTTCACGCTGCAAATTATGTATTAATTTGTCTAATTCTGCCTTTGATAAATATTTATATTCCGTCTTGAGGCGGTGACGAATAGATCTCGGAAACAAGCTTCAGTCATGGCTAATAGATCAGAGTCAGATATACCCTGTCAACTGTTGGCGGACGACCCTCTACCGTCTGGTGTTCCGCCTGAGTTACCTTCGGGGGATAAGCGTGGGACGCAGTCCGCTATATCCAAGAAGCGACCTGCATCCCAGGACGTTCCATCATCACAGTCTAAGACTAGAAGAGCTTCCACGTCGTCTCAACGTACGCTCCGAACCCCCAGGTCTCCAGCTTCGTCAAAAGGGAAATCCACGAAGGCTACTAAAAACTTTGCTTCTGACATTTTACCTGTTTCAGAATTGTGTTTATATGATGATGACATTCCGATTATCATTCCAGATGTACGTCATAAGAGCGACCAGTATCGGCTACCGTCACTTCAGCGCAGATCAACACGCAACCAGAGATGCCTACGCTGACGCCTGAGATGATAACTGAGGGTCCCGTCACTATCACAGAGAGGACACCCTCAACGCCAGCGCAGACAGTCCCAAACGACCTGGTTAACCAAATCATGAAGTTGATGGAAGACCGATATGGTTTACAGAGGCCTCAGAGCCGCGGGCCCTAGAGCCCAACCCATAATAAGTCATACAGGGCCCTAGAGCCCGCCTTGACTTCGCGTAGGGCCCTAGAGCCCACAAACGCGCCTCCACGAAGGGCATCCCAGCCCGTAGTGAAGCCTTCGCGAAGAACGTCCCAGGCCGCCTCCACGAAGGATCCAGATCCTCACCTTCGCGGAGGAGGAGTGCTTCACCGAGCTCACACCCTGTAGAACACAGGTCGTTCGCGAAGCAAGCTCCTATCTAATGAGTCGGACTCAGACTCGCTACCTTCACGAAGGCCTTCACGTAGGTTAAGTGGCTCCAAGTCATCTTCATTCAGAAGATCTTTAAGGGATTCACCGAGAGCTTCACGAAGCCACCATCGTTCGCCAAGGAAGCTCCACGAAGGTCTCCATATAGAAGCCACTCGTCAGTCCGTTCAAGACATCTTCGTCTTATAGTTGTCGAGGGATTCATTCGGACCTTAGCGAAACTACAGGTCACCCTACACAGTTCGTCGGGTTATTCACCACGTCGATCCCCTCGCCGATTTACACACAAGTATCCAGCGAAGCAGAGACATTGCAGTACTTGTCTATAAACTGTATGCCACATGCCGTCTTCAAGCCTACACGAAGACATTTGCACAGGCTATTTACAAAACAGAATGTTATATAGTTACGCGAAGTACTATTTACAGATGAAGAGCCTAATTAAGGATCTTCAGGCCGACTACCTACATCAAGGGCATCAACGACGTTTCGCAGATCTTCACAGGAATCACCATTTCCGTATATATTGCTAATTATGCAATCCCGGACTACGATACGATTATCTACATGCATGACCATTACGCAGATCTGCAGACAATTCAATAACGGAATTGAGCAGCAGCCTTGTTACAGCGAGTAAAACAGATGATCGTGAACGATTTCCTGAGAAGAAATATGTACAACAAGTTCAGCTTTAATTCTACAATTATAACGCTACATTGATGTATGCAGTCTACAAACTGACAACTTGCAAGTTTTATTCAGCCTATATGTAAGGAAGTCGGCATTATCTTCAAGACTGAAGTTACATTCACAACAGCCAGGAAAATAACCTACCCAGCATTAATATTACAGGGCGAGGTAATTCATGCCGATAGATTCGCGCGTTTACCATTAACCCTCGAAACACGTGGTCACTCGTGTAACTTCGGGAAGCTACGGACAAGACCGACGATTGATCTAATATCAACGACGGCACTAAATTATACAAGGTTCCTTTTCCTGCTACACCGGTGACATCACAGCGCGGGTACACTACAGAATCTAAATGCCTTGTTCTGATTGGACCGCGATGGACAACGCCCTATGCAGAGGTCGATCATAGTTCACAGTTCAAGACATAGGTTGCAAGTGACAACAACATATCAGTGAACGAGCAAAGCCTCCATACAGTCCAGTTAATCTGAACCTTCATGATTGGGCTGACTTCATGAGGTTAGAGACCTCCCCTGTCAAGTAAGGACGAGGGCAAGGCAGTCAGGCGATTTTTACATAAAGTTCAACGATGGCAGTCACCCCTGGTTGTGCACCTACATCGTCAAGGACTTCGCAGCGATTAGACGACGGGATACAAGTGGATCCAGATCCACAGCGTCTCAGACTACAGTTGAATTTCATCATCTAGCTACTAACACAACTAGGATGGTTAGTAAATCTACTTAAGTCGGACCTAGAACCTACGCAAGATCTGCAATTTCTAGGTATTTGATTTGTAACGGCGCAGAATCGTATAATTGTACCGGAGGAGCATGGATCAAGATCCAACAGTCAATCCCACAGGGGTTACTCACTTCAGCTCAAGACATGACAGTCAGAGGCAGACTACAATTATGTCCATTACAAGTCATCATCAATTCGCATCTCGACGACTCTCTACCGTTCAGTTTACCGGATCACGTTAAACCTCACCTACTATGGTGGACCAAGAGATCGAATGTTTGAGTAGGCGTCTCTTTAATAGAGCCGGAATCGAAAACCCATCTCTACGTAGACGTGTCACTACAAGGTTGGGGAGCCCATCTCGCAAAACAGGACGGCATCAGGGCTATGGAGCAATCAAGAGAGCAAATTACACATAAATCTGCTAGAGATGCAAGCAGTGATAACGCCATAAAGCACAGGAGCAACTTACTACAGAATGCTCAGTTGATGATTCACACAGACAATTCGACAGTGGCGTTTTATGTGAACAAACTAAGCTCAACCAGTTCTCCGAACCTATTGACTCTGTTTTCAATTGTTCGATTTAATCGACAATCTCAACATACATGTCAGAGCATGTCACATTCTAGGAGCAAAGAATGTAATAGCAGACGCTCTCTCTCGGCCACACCTACCATCGCCGACAGAATGGATGCTCCATACAGAGATATTCACTCAAATTATCAAGGAAATAGGAACTCTACTAATAGACCTATTTACCACTCGATTCAACAAACAACATTACATTATATCGCCAGTCCCAGACCCACTAGCATGGGCAGCGGACGCACTAAGCATATCGTGGGAAGGACTCAGCGCGATGCGCTTTCATACACCAGCGTTAATCCCACAAGTCTTACTCAAAATCAGTCAAACGCAGAGCCTCCATCTGAATTTGGTCACGCTCTACTGACCAGCGAGAACGTGGTTTCCAACTCTTATTCAAGGAATCGGACAACCAATACAACATCTTCCAGAGTGCTCGAATCTGTTAATACATCCGCACACCAAACAAACGCGCACGGAAAGCCAGAAATATTCCAACTTCACATATGGATTGTATCAAGGCGTGTCTGAATAAGAGGTTATTTAGCCAGAGCGGCAAAAGCAGTCAAGCTTGCATTGCGTAACTCAACTTGCAACTTATACGATGACAAATGGCACAGTTTTGTCAATTATGCTGCAAAGAAGGATTTACAGCTAGATATGCTACTCATCCTCAAGTGGCGGACTACTTATGTTATCTACGTCAGACTAAGAATTTAAAAGGCTCAGCTTTGTCCACCTCTCTTGCAGCAATAAGCTCTGTCATAACTATGAGAACGGGCATCAAGTTAATCAAACCCCAAAGTTACTCGCCTTGCTACGAGCATTCCGATTGGAGGATAAAAACGGAAGTTTCACGCTCCAGCTTGGGATCTGAATGTAGTGCTCCAACACCTCACAAGTGAGGCTTATGAACCGTTAGAATCTACATCGTTGAATCTCTGACTCAGATAACCTCGTTCCTGTTATCTCTAGCTACGGCTGCCAGGATGTCAGAGATTCATGCATTAGATTATGAGAGAACACGCTTTGATGATATACTTGGACCTCATGATACGGTGGATCTATCACTATGGCCAGTAAGAGCACTTAAAATATATCTCCACCGATCCAAACAGAGGAGGGAAAAATTCAAGAGATTAATTTCCTCTATCAACAGCTACGCAGACTGAAGTCTCACGTACTACGCTCTCCATTTGGATCAGAACTGTCATACTACGTGCCTACAAGACTGCAGGACTCGACCCTCCAAGAGCTTCTAATCCTCATGATATTAGAGCGCTAGCATCTACACTTGCTCTACACGACAACTGCTCTTGGAATACCATAATGGAGGGTTGTTTCTGGAGATCCGATATGGTGTTTGCCAACCACTATCTGAGAGATATCACCACCGAGGACGTCTCAGGTATCCACCATTTCGGTCCCATGGTCCTCGCACAACAGTTGACAGTTCCACGGAGAAGATAAGTCTATCTTACAGATTTCTACTTATCTTATAACAGTACTAAATAGCTACATGCTATATGTATTTTGCTTAAGTTCTTTTATCATCTTAAGCTCAGTACTATGGTTATTATATCATACAATATATTAGCTAACAACTCTACGGAGTTTGCTATTATATATGTAGCTTAAGTTAATTATATCTTAAGCACAGTACTATACTCATATCATAAAAATATATTAGCTAACAAACTCTACGGAGTTTTTGCTATTATATATGTAGCTTAAGTTTATTCATATCTTAAGCTCAGTACTATGTTTATATCATAAAAGTATATTAGCTAACAAACTCTAAGGAGTTTTTTGCTATTGTATATTTAGCTTAAGTTTCATCATATCTTAAGCTCAGTATTATGGTTACATTATAAAATGTATGAGCTAACAAACTCTACGGAGTTTTTGCTATTATTTATGTAGCTTAAGTTAAATTATATCTTAAGCACAGTACTATACTCATATCATAAAAATATACTAGCTAACAAACTCTACGGGGTTTTGCTATTATATATGTAGCTTAAGTTTTATTCATATCTTAAGCTTAGTACTATGTTTACTTCATAAAAGTATATTAGCTAATAAACTCTAAGGAGTTTTTGCTCATATATATTTAGCTTAAGTTTAATCATATCTTAAGCTCAGTACTATGGTTATTATATCATACAATATATTAGCTTACAACTCTAGAAGTTTTGCTATTATATTTAGCTTAAGTTTCATCATATCTTAAGCTCAGTAATATGGTCACAATTTTTATATATATTAGCTAACAAACTCGACGGAGATTTTGCTATTATATAGCTTAAGTTAAATCATATCTTAAGCTCAGTACTATACTCATATAGCTTAAGTTTATGCATATCTTAAGCTTAGTACTTTGGTTACTTCATAAAAGTATATTAACTATAAACTCGAGGAGTTTATGCTATCACATTAACAACTTAAGTCTACTTGTCTTAGGTTTTGTACTAATGTTGTATATACTTTATCATAATAAGTATATTGTAATAGTTATATTGTAATAACCCATATATGGCAGCTGATAAGTTAGCAGCAGGAATTCATCAGTTCAGTGCCTTTATGAAGCCTTTACAGTCATTACAATTCAAATCACTAATTATCCCAATCCAAAGTATTATATAATCCCACCTCCATAGCCGTCGAATTCTACAAGCAAAAAAGCATGAGTCAGGATAAGGAAAAATATGTAATTTTCTGAGTAAAATTGATATTTTATACTTATCCTGACTCATGAGGTAAGCCCTCCCGTCCTCCCCACATAACACTTTGGATTTCCCTGTAAATTCAAGTGTTGGGCTCGCTACAAAAGGAGAGAGTGAGGCACATGGTGGGAGGTGGCGCCCTCGTTCCCGCGCTTGCGAGGGGAAAGATAACTCAGGGTGAGTACTAATTAGTGATTTTACATTGAAGGGAACTTCAATTGGGAGATACAAGTGTTCCACTATGTTCGCAAAGAAGAAGAAGACAAGCAAAATAGCATGAGTCAGGATAAGTATAAAATATCAATTTTACTCAGAAAATTACATTTTTGTTGGGTTGAGTCCCATCTGGGATTCGGACCGATACCCTCAGTGAGGCACCTAATTGTCCAGATGGGACTCAACCCAATAATAGTACTAGAATCTGTACTTTATTAAAAAAAGTGCAATCCCAAATATAACATATGTTACATTTGACCACTTTCTAAATGGCATTGTGTATTCATAACTTTCAGCCATGGGAGCCGTGCCAATTTGCACTTATCTGAGGGGTACAAAACTTCCGCAGTGTAGATTACCATTTGTCTCTTTCAGTACTTCTATTCATGATGTCTCTTGCAATACTCGTATTCATGATGTCTCTGGCAGTACTTGTATTCATGATGTCTCTTCCAGTGCTTCTATTCATGACGTCTCTTGCAGTGCTTGTATTCATGACGTCTCTTGCAGTGCTTGTATTCATGTCTCTTGCAGTACTTCTATTCATGATGTCTCTTGCAGTACTTGTTTTCTTGATGTCTCTTGCAGTACTTGTATTCTTGATGTCTTTTGCAGTACTTCTATTCATGATGTCTCTTGCAGTACTTGTATTCATGATGTCTCTTGCAGTACTTCTATTCATGATGTCTCTTGCGGTGCTTGTATTCTTGATGTCTTTTGCAGTACTTCTATTCATGATGTCTCTTGCAGTGCTTGTATTCATGGTGTCTCTTGCAGTACTTCTATTCATGATGTCTCTTGCAGTGCTTGTATTCATGGTGTCTCTTGCAGTACTTGTATTCATGATGTCTCTTGCAGTGCTTGTTTTCATGTCTCTTGCAGTACTTGTATTCATTTCTCTTGCAGTACTTCTATTCATGATGTCTCTTGCAATACTTGTATTCATGTCTCTGGCAGTACTTGTATTCATGATGTCTCTTGCAGTGCTTCTATTCATGACGTCTCTTGCAGTGCTTGTATTCATGATGTATCTTGCAGTACATCTATTCATGATGTCTCTTGCAGTACTTGTATTTATGATGTCTCTTGCAGTGCCCGATTCATGATGTCTCTTGCAGTGCTTGTATTCATGATGTCTCTTGCAGTACTTCTATTCATGATGTCTCTTGCAGTGCTTGTATTCATGATGTCTCTTGCAGTGCTTGTATTCATGATGTCTCTTGCAGTGCTTGTATTCATGATGTCTCTTGCAGTACTTGTATTTATGATGTCTCTTGCAGTGCTTGTATTCATGATGTCTCTTGCAGTGCTTGTATTCATGATGTCTCTTGCAGTGCTTGTATTCATGATGTCTCTTGCAGTGCTTGTATTCATGATGTCTCTTGCAGTGCTTCTATTCATGATGTCTCTTGCAGTGCTTCTATTCATGATGTCTCTTGCAGTGCTTCTATTCATGATGTCTCTTGCAGTGCTTCTATTCATGATGTCTCTTGCAGTGCTTGTATTCATGATGTCTCTTGCAGTGCTTGTAATCATGATGTCTCTTGCAGTGCTTCTATTCATGATGTCTCTTGCAGTGCTTGTATTCATGATGTGTCTCTTGCAGTGCTTGTAATTCATGATGTCTCTTGCAGTGCTTGTATTCATGATGTCTCTTGCAGTGCTTGTATTCATGATGTCTCTTGCAGTGCTTGTATTCATGATGTCTCTTGCAGTGCTTCTATTCATGATGTCTCTTGCAGTGCTTGTATTCATGATGTCTCTTGCAGTACTTGTATTCATGATGTCTCTTGTGCAGTACATCTATTCATGTCTCTTTGCAGTACTTGTATTCATGATGTCTCTTGCAGTGTCTTGTATTCATGATGTCTCTTGCAGTACTTGTATTTATGATGTCTCTTGCAGTACTTCTATTCATGATGTCTCTTCAGTGCAGTGCTTGTATTCATGATGTCTCTTGCAGTACTTCTATTCATGTCTCTTTGCAGTGCTTCTATTCATGATGTCAGTCTTGCAGTGCTTGTAATTCATGATGTCTCTTGCAGTGCTTGTATTCATGATGTCTCTTGCAGTGCTTGTATTCATGATGTCTCTTGCAGTGCTTGTATTCATGATGTTTCTTGCAGTGCTTGTATTCATGATGTCTCTGGCAGTACTTGTATTCATGTCTCTTCCAGTGCTTGTATTCATGTCTCTTCCAGTGCTTGTTTTCTTGATGTCTCTTGCAGTACTTGTATTCATGATGTCTCTTGCAATACTTGTATTCATGATGTCTCTTGCAGTGCTTGTATTCTTGATGTCTCTTGCAGTGCTTGTATTCATGATGTCTCTTGCAGTACTTGTATTCATGATGTCTTTTGCCTTGCTTGTATTCATGATGTCTCTTGCAGTGCTTGTATTCATGATGTCTCTTGCAGTGCCACAGATGACATCCAGTGCCACAGATGACATCCCACGGGCAGACGAAGTCCGGACACTGATTAAAGATGCTTGGGATCTTAGGATAGCCAAACTCCGCAGCAGTATTGACGTCTTTGTTAATAGTGACGCCACACATGCTAAGGTGATTTATTGACTGTACTTATATACAGAGAAATATATAGTTATCCCAGAAATTACTGAGAAATATATATATGTCGTGCGTAATTTACGGAATGATGGATGGATGGATGGATGGATGGATGGAATGTATGTATGTAATAGGGTGAGGGAAAGTCCTGACCGTTACCACTTTTTAATCAGAATAATTCATAAAAATCTTTTAAAGATGGCAGACACAGCTTTTACACAGCCTTAGTCAAACTTGAAGGTAAAAACTATTATCATGAATCTTGAAAGTGTTATTTTGTGTCTTTCATTTATTTACCACAAAATAATGGCACTTTTCTAAAACATTATTATGTATATAGCTTTCAACAGGTAAAATTGTCCAAAATAAACATCAGCTACTAAGCCCAGAACATCTTTTGATGACACCAGCATAAAGAGAAGTGTTTCATGTATTATCATGAATTAATTAGAGCAGTCAATTAACACGAGTAATGGTTAGGACAATAGTGGTAACGGTTTGGACAGGAATGGTAACGGGCTGGACATAAACCGTAAACAATTTAATTCAACATAGAACCAGGTAACATGAAAGGAAAAAATAATATCATTTACTTCAACTGCTAACCCTATTTTGGACAGACAGTGAAATGTGTATTAGAAATTGTAACTTGTAACAAATGTGACATGTTTTCTTCCATGCTGTGGTAACGGTTTGGACATTTGTTATATCAATATGAAACTTGTGAATGAATTTAGGCTTTTGAATAAAAACAAACTGTAGCTTCTAAAGAATAGAAAAACACACCTGTCTAGGTTGAAAATCACTTATAATCTAAAGAAGAGTGCAATTGGGGAACGAAAATTGAATGAATAGTAACGGTTGTGACATTATTGGTAACGGTCAGGACATCAGTGTAACAAACAAATGTTATCCCTCTAAAAAGTTGCAAAAGATTAAATTCTGAAAGGTACTGCAACAACTATGATACTGTACACATGGTCATGCTACACAGGCCACTGCATAGATATCATTTTGCTGTTGATATTATGGTGCAATATTAATCTCCACGAAATATACTTCTTTCATTCACTCGGATACCTTTAGTTTTTGTTAATCGTGAGATGGCAACACATATTTATCAAATACAAAGGTTTGGCCAACATATTAGCACCTAGCAAATATTCAAAGTAAATGGTAGCCTTACATATCTCACAGTTAAAGTTAAAACAGTTTACACCCAGCAAATCTTTAAAGGTTGGAATACAATTAAGTTGTTTACCCTTACTACCTTTGGTCCAAACTGTTACCATAGATGTCCTAACTGTTACCTTTAATTCATAAAGACTATAGATCTTATAGAAAATAGAAACTTAACGTGATAAATTTGTTTTGGTTTTTATTATTTAAAGCAGATACCGTATATTAGATAAGTAAATAGAAATTTATTATCACACCATAGAACATATTCTTCAAAATTGAAATTTATCAAAGATATGTCCAGACCGTTACTATTATTTGTCCAAACCGTTACTAGAGACTGTTTTTTATGCTACTACATCAAAACTCCATTGAACAGTAAACTTCCATGCTTAAACTTATCTTAACTCTTAAAGTAATTATAAATTTGTTATATTTCAAATATTAATGAACAACTTTTTGAAATACAAATCATTTTGTCCTGACTGTTACAAGGACTGTCCAAACCGTTACTTTGCTGTGAAAATTATATGTGATGGATCATTGAAAATCTTTGACACCAGGTGAACAAAAATGTTTAAAATATCTTTTTTGTCGTCAGTAGGATATTGTTAATGGAGGTAATTCTATTTGCCCATTTGACATCAACAGCTGTTGCCGGGAGATGCTATGGTTTGGGAAAGTCATGACATGATGTTACGTGGGTGCCGAGGAAGCCCTTCGTCGTAATTCCTATGCAGACTGTTGAGACAATTATCTTGTGATTGAAGAAAACATTTGTCACTGAGGTCTGTGCCAAAAATGATATTGTTATACTCTTAATCGGCATTACACACTGATACATGTAGCTGAGTAGTCGTGATTCACATTTAACTGTCGGTAAACACCACTCTGGTGCCATTTGACTGAAAGAATGACATTGTTATACTCTTTATCATGATGATGCAGTCCAACCGATAGAGGTACCTGACGAGTCATGATGCACATTTTAATGCACTGTCGGTAGACACAATTTCCATTTGAATATCAACAGCAGTTGGCACGAAGCGCACATGCTCGGTATTTCTATAGCGGGTATTTATATCCATAACGTTCTTTCTCTAACGCTGCCGCAACTGAACTTGTGAAGTCACAGCAAGTAAGGCACTTCTGTAGTCTGTATCAGTATCCATTACACTGTTACTCTCAGGCTGTCGCAACTGAACTTGTGAATCGAGAGCAAGTGCATATACTGGAGGTACACCTTACACCTGGATACAGGTACATACGAAGTTTAGAAATCCATATACAAACAGCAGAAGACCAAATTGTTACAAAAAGTGCATTGCTCTTTGGGCATTGGAAGCCCAGCGAGTGGGGGTTGTTGGTAGATTCTCATGGCGCTTCCTTCACCTAGCTCAATTGCCAATAGCAAAAGATATGTATCTAGCCACCAAACGGTGATACTTTTAACATGCACCATGAACAAAATATAATCAGCAAACGTTTGAGATACATATTGCAAACTTTCATTGTGTACTGTATAGAACCAATGAAGATAGCAACTTTTGTGAACAAAATAGAATTTGGCTTATTGCCCAGTTGTCTTTGATGCCGTATTACTGCAATTGGTATGTATAATTGGGGCTCATAGTCTACACATACAGGCCAATTTTGGAAAAAATCAGATGACTGGTTTCAGACTTGTATTGAGAGCTAGAAATCGTTAAAAACACACCCAGAACACGTTTTTGAACAGGGTCATGTACCTTTCAAATAGTTCAGGAGAAGAAAAAGTTCCCTCTTTAACAGTCTGTAGCTCTGCTGTCCTTGTGTCTACAATCTTAACGACTAGTGTTCTGGAATCGGCATGATCTCAGCTATCTGATGCAGACAAACGCCTACCCGTCAAAAACTTCAAATTTCCTTCAATCCAATATGGCGGCCAAACGGTGCCTCTTAGGCCCATGGTTCCTGTAGTTGAAATTGAAGGTAATCAGATTCCAGAGCTGCCCCGGAAATTTGGTAGTGATTGGACATGTAGTTTCGGAGATTATTGCTTTGGAAATTGAATTTTTTAAATTAATTTTGAATTATCTGCCCCTTGCTATTGGGCCTCGAGTCCTGAGTTTTTGGCGCAATCAACTTCAGCATTGTGGGCACCCTGGTGATTTTTTGGAAGCGATTCTGAGCTCTGGTTTAGGAGCTATGTTTGGTACAAAATACGGCGGAATAATAAATAATAATAATCCGAACGATTTCAATATGTCTCCTGCCTAGAGGCAAGGTGCCCTAAAAATGAGTGATCCCTAATTGATTTCAAGGACATGCCTTCCACCTCTTCCATTTCTGAGCAACATATCCATTGAAATTTAAAAAAAAAGAGAGATATGTTTGACACAAAATACATTGGTAACGGTCTGGACAGTTAAGGTTGACACATAACATTTATACTTATTTGATGGTGTCAGTTTTCTGCAAAATGTGTTGAATCTCTTTATGTCATCTACTGTCACATCCACAGGGGCTAGCTCAAGCAGACACAGGAAGTAGAATTACAATCCAGCTCCAGGGGGAAATTATTGCAGGACAAGCATGTTACAATTTGTAGAAAAAACCTTTTTGAGAGTTGAAACAAAATTAAATGCAGTTTGAGTATGCTTGATCAATCCTAAATGGCATAATATGAATTAGTTTGTTTATTTGCATTCATATTTACATTATTTGTGAACATTGATATTAGGACCGTCACCTCTGGACAGAGCAAATCTGCTAATTTTGACCCTAAAATGAGGCTAAATATAAATTTCCAAATGACAAGACTAATGATGTACCACATGACTAGTAAACATCTAAATATGTTTTCTAGCACAAAAAACTCATTTTAAGTTAAGAGTTTTGTTTATTATTTGGAACAGAAAGAAAATACTACCAATTTTGAAAATGACCCATATATATATATCTGTATATATACATAGATACAGTAGTTGGTTGAATCTCACAGAAGCAGTAAGTGTGTCATATAGTAGTTGGTTGAATCTCACAGAAACAGTAAGTGTGTCATATAGTAGTTCGATGAATCTTACAGAAGCAGATAGTGTGTCATATAGTAGTTGGATGAATCTTACAGAAGCAGTAAGTGTGTCATATTGTAGTTGGTTGAATCTCACAGAAGCAGTAAGTGTGTCATATAGTAGTTGGATGAATCTTACAGAAGCAGTAAGTGTGTCATATAGTAGTTGGTTGAATCTCACAGAAGCAGTAAGTGTGTCATATAGTAGTTGGTTGAATCTTACAGAAGCAGTAAGTGTGTCATATAGTAGTTGGATGAATCTTACAGAAGCAGTAAGTGTGTCATATTGTAGTTGGTTGAATCTCACAGAAGCAGTAAGTGTGTCATATAGTAGTTGGATGAATCTTACAGAAGCAGTAAGTGTGTCATATAGTAGTTGGTTGAATCTCACAGAAGCAGTAAGTGTGTCATCATATAGTAGTTGGTTGAATCTTACAGAAGCAGTAAGTGTGTCATATAGTAGTTGGTTGAATCTCACAGAAGCAGTAAGTGTGTCATATAGTAGTTGGTTGAATCTCACAGAAGCAGTAAGTGTGTCATATAGTAGTTGGTTGAATCTCACAGAAGCAGTAAGTATGTCATATAGTAGTTGGTTGAATCTCACAGAAGCAGTAAATGTGTGTCATATAATAGTTAAATGTTGAATCTCACAGAAGCAGTAAGTGTGTCATATAGTAGTTGTTGAATCTCACAGAAGCAGTAAGTATGTCATATAGTAGTTGGTTGAATCTCACAGAAGCAGTAAGTATGTCATATAAAAGTT